ATTAACAATTGTTAATAAGAAAGACAAAAAAAGTCTGGATAGTGGACACTGCAATACCTGAACACAGCAGAATAGAAAATAAAATTAAAAAGAATAGAAAAGAAAAGACCTGCAAATAGAAGTAGAACAACTTTGGCAAAAGAAAGCACAGATAGTACCAATAGTAATAGGTGCCTTGAGTACAATCCCAAAAATCTGGAGCACCACTTGAAGACCCTTGGCATTGACAAAATCACCATCAATCAGTTGCAAAAGGCAGCTTTACTTGGAAAGCTTACATCCTGCAATGATACTTTTAACACCATGAAATAACATCTGCCTATCCCAGGTCCTTGGGAAGGACTTGATAGGTAGATAAAAATGCTAAATCGAATCTAAACATCTGCCTGACTGTGCAACCAACCATAATAATAATAAAAAATAAAGATGCTATTGAATTTTGCTATTACTACTAATACAAGAGGGATGGCCTGCATAGCCATTTTATTTTTTGTGCTTTTTATTGGATCTGGGCTATATATGACCCAATTAAGCTGCTTATCTGCACAGATTATTCTACTGTCTTTCATCTGTTATTTTGCTTGCAACTTCTCCCCATGGTTGTTCATCAAGGAGGCCTAAAACAAGTCCTGAGTTTTGTGTTTTTTTCATAGCCTCTGGATGCAGTTTATGAATATGCTGAGGACTGAACTATCTATTGACTTGAGAGATTTGCCTTGGAGTGGTAATGGAGGCTGTAGCAAAATCATCAGAACAATTCACTCAAGCTTTCTTTCAGTATAGATTGCTTGTGCTTGGTGCCTAGCTTTATTATAGATTCAGAAGAGGATGCTGATCCCTCGAGATGAGTGCAGAGTTCACAGCTGCTGCTTTGCATGAATGAGTCTTAATGAAAGAAGAAAGAAGTTTAGCATTAAGGGCTGAAAAATACTATTAAACCCTCCTTTCCCTCCTTCCCACCTGTATTAACCAGTATTCCTTAGGGAAACAAGACTACAGAGGACATAAAAGGGAATGTACAAAGGATTGGGGTGAGGGACCAAGGTGGAAAAAAATGCAAAACTATGAAGAATATCTGTTTGCCCTGGTAGAAAATTTGGGCTGCCGTTTTCTTACAAGGATCCATTACCTTTATTAGGTCAGTTGAAAGTACAGAAAATAGTTTCAAGCTTTCATATTTTCAGGAACTTTTCATTAGGCAAGGTGAAAAGCAGGAAAATAAGGGGAGAAGGAAGAAAATTTTCAAGATCATATATGCACCTTAACAAAAACTATACCTCTCTTTTTCTCCTTGATTTTTAACCATTTTGCCTAATAAACAGTTCTATGAAACTATAAAACTTGCAAGTTTTTAATGCACCTTTCATTACTCATAATTAGCTTGGCTGCTTTGATGTCAAGTAATCTTTCTATGAAAGTTTACTTGCACTATTAAGATATGTGATAATTTTTTTCAGAAACGGGTTTGATTAACTAGATTAACAGTTAACTCTGATTGTACCATTAGTTCTTCCTGCTTTTTAACTGTCCCAGTTTTTAAATTCTTGAACTTACTGTTCAAGGAGCAAAGAGATCCCTTAAATAGTTGTTTCTTATTAGAAATTTATTCAAACACATCTTGTGAATTTTGGAGGAAAACAAATAGTGATTCAGCTTAGGACTTCCTACTCATAAGATGCCATTTCCACATATAAAAATTAAAAATTATTCCTCTAAGTATTGATTAGGTAAACCACTGTTCTTGGCTGTTATAATTTAAGGATTTTGTGTTTGTTCGGATTATGCTACTGTATTGATAACATGTATATATATATATTTAATTTGAATGCATATAGGAGAAGCCCGGATGTTCAAGCAAAGGAAGAATTATGGAAACACATTCAGTAAGTATTTCTACAAATGTGGGTATCTATTGTTGGTTAATATTTTTATGCATGTGGTTGTTTAACTTTTAAAACATTCTTTTCCAGAAAGGAACTTGTGGATCCATCTGGCCTATCTGAGGAGCAACTAAGAGAGATTCCATATACTAAGATAGAGTGAGTTTGTTTATTGGACACAAGTATTGGAATGTTGTAATCCCTATATAAATCTGTATGGGGACATACCTTGAGGCTGATCATACAAGATTAGATAGGACTCCAGATCTTGAGCTTAAATATTAAAAGGCACATATCTACTCTAAATCTGTTTCAAACCTCCCAGAAATAAATGAGAATCACTTAGTTTCTAAGTGTATAATATACTTCCAATAAAAGTGAAACACTCACTTAGCTTATTTTTTGTTTGAGTCACACTTGTTTGGGATATGTCCTGAAATATGGTATTGCAGAAATCACTCTTCACCTATAGCTTAGCTCAGGTTGGCTGTGAACTATGAGAATTGTAGTCCAACATATTGAATGGCATCAAGTTGAGAAAGCCTATCAAGATATTCCGGTCACCATCAGGCACAGAAGTGGGCTTTGTTTGGAGAAAAGCAGCCTTTAGGAACCTGGCCATTGCTAAGTATTTTGAGATTTGAAATCCATGTATCTGGAGGGCACCCATTTGGGAAAGGTGCCTTAGGCAGCAGACTGCATGATAAACCTAAATGTGGGGGAAGAAACTCCACATTCTTTACTCAGGCACTTGAGTTGTTCACATCAGTTTTAGTATCCTCTGCTTTCTGTATAACTGGGGCAGATAATAGAATTACTTACAATTGCATCAAATTTAGCTTTGCGTGTTACCTGTGATTTTGCTGCATACCCTGTAGAATAATGGTGAATTTCCATTCATCAAGACTTGGGGGAACACTTTCAAGCTACCTTTCTTTATAAACTTTTAAAAATGTACTCTTACTCTGATCATCCAAACTGACTTTTTGACTTCCTTGACCTTGTTTCCTCAGCATAGCATCATTAATTGCCAAAGCACAGTTGGACCTTTCAGATCAAGCTCCAGTTTCATTCCAGTAATTGGCCATCTGGGATTTCCATGTGGTGATGTGAACAAGTGCTTCTGACAGGAGTTGAATCATGTTTCGCATCACAATGTGATTCTGACACACCACTGAGTAGGAATAAAGAATAGTGGTACAGGCATGAAGGCTAGACATGAAACATTTCCTTCAGCACATTTTTCTTTCAGTGTGCATACAAGCCCATGCTATTAAGTTAGACTTTAATCTCAGGATATTAATATTGAAAATGTGTGGAACAACAAGTGATTTTTAAGGCTGAAATAAATTTTAAAAGTTTCTCAGTGGGCTCTGAATTTTAAAAAAAATCATGAGCAAAATGTTAGGGAAAAGTCTACTGGTGTGTTCTCTCTGTCAGGAAACATATTTTTGTGAGTGATTAAACCATCAGTGCTTACGCAGTTTACTTGGTTTCCTTGGGTACAAGTTTGGTCTTATGAAAAAGAAACATTTAAACGATGGCTGGTGTGGGTCTTCCGGGCTGTGTGGCCGTGTTCTTGAAGTTCTGTTTCCT